CTGAAGGCAGTACACAGATCATGAGCATAATCTTTCCTGGTAAGTGGAAGACTTATCCCCAGGTTGACCATGGGAAATGTGAACAAATTAGAGAGGGAAAGACCAGGAAAATCAGCACCCCCTTTGTTGAAAAATTTTAAGGAACAAGACAGTGAAATAGTAATGACAGGTGCAGCAAGGAACCCTGCCTGAACAGTGTGCAGAATTACTGTGTAGGGAAGAGCGAGGTGAGCCCACCAAGCCTGCTGAACTGACCTCAGGAGACCTACATTGGAAACTCGAGTCATAGACGTGGGCAGGATTCAAGTGAACATAAATGCTTTCACTAGACTCACATCTAAACTTTCACAAAGTAAGGAGATATCTCTCAGGAAAGCAAATGAGCAGTCCTTAAAGAGATTTAAAAAAAAAAAAAAAAAAGTAAGATATTTAGATCCAGCACAGAGTGTCAAGTACTGCCCTAATTTTAAGACTGGAAGCCATATTCCACAGTAAGATAAGAAGCAGGGTTCTGGTGTCCACCTGCTAGGATCTGAATCAGCTCTGTAACTTAACAGCTGCAGAATCTTAGACAAGTTACCTACTTCTTTCTGTGCTTCAATGTCTTCATCTGTACAACAGGGAATAATAAAAGTATTTACCATATAGTCACAACAAGGACTGAAGGAAATAATACACGCACAGCTCTTAGTTACTGTTATTACATAGCATGGAGGAAGGACAGGACTCTCTTAAAAACAAGTCAAAATTTTAAAACTTGCTTGAGACTATTTGAAAGGAGTTGGGAACAGCAGAGGGTAATGAAACATGGCAGTCAGATCTTCGTAGCAGAGAAACGTAAGAAGTTCAAACAGATATTTTGGTTGTCACTGAAGCAATGCAATTAATTATTTACTTAAGGCCTGGAAATCTCTAGAGAATGAGGAAACACTCATTGGCAGAAGCACATATCAAAGGAAATATAAATGTTCTCTGACTGTGCCACTTGGGAGCATCAGCATTTAGCATCTCCAGTTTAGGACTATGTCAAGGGTAATACCCCTGTTAGAAGACAAAGGGGAAATCTCTGAGAATCAGGAATCAAACTTAAGGAATTTCAAACAGGAGACAGAAACACCAGTCATTGCAATAGAATTGATATCACAGGGCTAGAAAAAAAAGGCTTTAGGATTCTGCTGGGAATGAAAAAATAAAGTGAGAAAAGGGAGGGGACCAACCCAAATGCCCATCACTGACAGACTGGATAAAGACAATATGGCACATATACACCATGGAATACTATGCAGCCATAAAAAACGATGAGTTCATGTCCTTTGTAGGGACATGGATGAAGCTGGAAACCATCATTCTCAGCAAACTAACACAGGAACAGAAAACCAAACACTGCATGTTCTCACTTGTAAGTGGGAGTTGAACAATGAGAACACATAGACACAGAGAGGGGAACATCACACACCAGGGCCTGTGTGGTAGGGGCAAGGGGAAGGACAGCATTAGGACAAATACCTAATCCATGCAGGGCTTAAAACCTAGATGACGTGTTGACGGGTGCAGCAAACCACCATATGGCACATATATACCTATGTAACAAACCTGCATGTTCTGTACATGTACCCCAGAATTTAAAAGAAAGGAAAGGCAAGGAAAGGGAAGGAAAGGAAAGGAAAGGAAAAGAAAGGAAAGGAAGAAAGAAAGAAGAGAAAACAAAAAAAAGAAAAAAGCAAAGCAAAGCACTTGGCCCCAAAACAGAGTCCACATTCAATTCAGAATTTGGGTACCAGGAACCCAAAGGCCAAAGGGGAAACAGGGCAACTGAAGTGCGTACAATTAAATTAATCTCTTTACTGATGATTTTGGCCAGATGAATTTTAGTTCTATCAATCATCATGGATCTGGACAATTAGCATTCAAAGAGAGGAGAAGCGAAAATACATCAGGTCATTCTATGATTTTTGGCTGACGATGGAATGTGGTGATATATAATTCTGGGAGCACTGTTTTGCTTCAAAAGGTAGCTGGAATGATGCTGTGATATTCTTTTGTCCCGATGACCCTTTCAACTGCTGACCAGTAGGGCTGGGGTTCCATTACACAGTTTTGAGGAGGTTGATTAAGGCACACCCATGAAGAAAGGCCAAGTTGTGTCAGAGGAGTTTAAAGCTTCTGAGAGTTCTAGACCCACGATGGTGGGGAAAACCCACCAGAGCCTATCCCCCGCTGAATACAGCCCAAAACTCGGGACCGTGCACAAAAGGCAATAACCTGGGGACTCTGACGGCAAAAACAAAACCAGGCAGAGTGTAGATGGAGTCAAATCTGGAGAGGTGGCCTCCAAGATAATGAAGTTTCCCATTTTATTTTCCCTCTTGCTATAGTCTCAATGTTTGTCACCCCAAATTACGTGTTGAAATTTGATCCCAGCACTGGAAGTGGGGCCCAAGGAGAGATGTTTGGGTCATAAGAGCAGATCCCTCATGAATAGATTAATGCCCTCCCTGGGGTGAGGCAGTGAGTGAGTTTTCACTCTATTCATCCCCCAAGAAAGCTGGTTGTTAAAAAGAGCCTGACATCCCACCACTCCTGCTCCCTCTATCTCCATGTGATCTCTGCACACACAGGCTTCCCTTTGCCTTCCACCATGAGTCAAAGCAGCGTGAGACCCTCGCCAGATGCCCAGACTTCCAGCTATTAGAACCGTGAGCCGAACAAATCATTTTTCTTTATGAACTACCCAATCTCACGTATTCCTTTACAGCAACATGCAACAGACTAACACATGTCTTTTCTTTTCTTTTTTTTTTTTTTTAATTAGAGAATCTTGCTCTGTTGCCTAGGCTGGAGTACCACTGTGCAATCTCAGCTCACTGCAACCTCCGCCTCCCAGATTCAAGCAATTCTTGTGCCTCAACTTCCCAAGTAGCTGGGACTACAGGTGCCTGCCACTACACTTGACTAATTTTTATATTATTAGTAGAGACAGGGTCTTGCCATGTTGGGCAGGCTAGTCTTGAACTCCTGACCTCAGGTGATCCTCCTGGCTAAGCCTCCCAAAGCACTGGGATTACAGGCATTAGCCACTGCACCCAGCCTCACTGTCATTTTATTACATGTCTCTCCCCTTGGCTGAGAAGAGGCAACAGGCACAGAAGAGATGTTGCTGTGATCTGTGCTGGTGAAGGAGGCGGCACAGAAGGGACAGTGGGGTGGGAGAGGAGCAGGAGGTCTCAGGTAGCCCCAGTGAGCTGGGAAAGGCATGTTCTCTCATTGGCACACCTCTATAAGGATGAAAAGCAGGGCACTGCAAGCTCTAAATAAATTCTTCCTCCTCTTCAGTATAAATGGATTAGGAGATGTGGACATCCTTAATAAAGGAAATTTTGAATTTCTTTTGAAGTATGTGAATATGTGTTTCAAAATAACGCACACAATCTTAATATGTAATGATGCTAGTGTTCATTTCCAGGACCTACAGACGTGAGAAACTGCATCATTTCCCATGAGTCACCCACCACCTCTCAATGAACAGCATGGGTTGTAACCTTTCGAAGGACTCCATCTTACTAAGTCAGGGTAATTCTCAGCTTCTCCACTGATTCTCATTTCCATAAGTATCATCACGAGTTTATAAAAGAACAATTGACAAGAGTGATATGGTTTGGCTCTGTGTCCCCACCCAAATCTCATGTTGAACTGTAATTCTCAATGTTGGGGGAGGGAACTGGTGGGAGGTAGCCAGATCAAAGAGGTGGATTTCCCCCATGCTGTTCCCATAATAATGAGTTCTCACGAGATCTGATGGTTTAAAAGCGTGTGGCACGTCCCCGTCGCTCTCACTCTCTCTCCCCTGCTGTCATGTGAAACCCACACCTGTTTTCCATTCACCGTCTGTCACGATTGTTAAGTTTCCTGAGGGCTCCCAGTCATGCTTCCTGTATAGCCTGTGGAACTGTGAGTCAATTAAACCTCTTTTCTTCATAAATTACCCAGTCTCATGTAATTATAGCAGTGTGAGAATGTACTGATACAAAGAGACACCATGCTCTTCTACTCCAAAACTTTTCTAAAATCATTGGCTTTGATCCTGGAAGTTTAAATGTCTCTCACTACGTTTTTAAAGAAATGCACTGAGGATGAAATGAAGACACATGGAGCTTGTGGCTGCTCACATCTGTGAAGGATGCACAAGAGAGATGCTAGGATGCAAATCTGAGTCAAGGCAACTGATGTTTGTGAAAATACCCAAATTTCTTTATTAACTACCTTTTTATTTTGAGACGGAGTCTCGCTCTGTCGCCCGGGATGGAGTGCAGTGGTGCAATCTTGGCTCACTGCAACCTCCGCCTCCCAGGTTCAAGTGATTCTCCTGCCTCAGCCTCCTGAGTAGCTGAGACTACAGGACTGTGCCACCATGCCCGGTTAATTTTTGTATTTTTGTAGAGACGGGGCTTCACCATGTAGAGATGGGGCTTCACCATGTTGGCCAAGCTGGTCTCAAACTCCTGACCTCAAGTGATCCTCCTGCCTTGGCCTCCCAAAGTACTGGGATTAAAGGTGTGAGCCACTGCATCCAGCCAATGATCAACTTTAAAGCGACTCTGCGGACTCTCTAGCTGGAAATATCCTAGAACTCTGCTGTAATACTTTATTTTTTGCTGAAGGTCTCAATGCCATCTGAAGCTTGTCCCACGCATTGTGTTCAAAAATACTCATTTCTTTTATTTAATTGCCCTGATGTATGCTTCATATATTACAGCAGTGTTTGCTATCCCCTCTTGACACAGGCTCCACTGAAATGACAGCACCATTCTTCAGTGATGTCTTCAAAGTCTCTGCAAGTCAATTAAGTACAAAAAACTGAAGATTTTGTTTCAGAGACAAGACAAAAGTGTTCAAGAGGAGGAGATTTTTAGCTTGAAAACTTCAAGTACGATTAACTTTGAAGAGAAATGCTTACTAGCTCGCTTATTTCCTCAGAATGACACACAGAAACAAGCACTTACCAACCAAGACGACGAGTCTGTATTTTTCATTAGTTTGTCGCCGATACGGTGTCACTTCTTCGTACGTGGGCACGTCGGCTGTGTCATACTGATCACTCTTCTTGCATTCATACATGGACTTATTTGTTTTCTTATCTTTTCTACTAAGACGAAAACTTCTTCTAAAACCAGCTGCAAATATCAAAATAAATATATTTTTAGTTAACATGAACCAAAAACGAAACCCTCAAAAAACAAAAATAAAAAACCCTCAGAGTTGGGTTGGATTTTATTTATGATAATATTGGTTTATTAAAGTAAAACCCTAATGTTTTAGAGACAGGGTCTCACTCTGTTGCCCAACCTGCAGAGCAGTGGTGCCATCATAGCTCACTGCAGTGTTGAACTCCTGGGCTCCAGCAATCCTCCTGCCTCAGACTCCCAGGCAGCTGGGACTACAGGCACACGTCGCCATGTCCGGCTAATTTTAAAAATATTTTGTAGAGACAGGGTCTTGCTATGTTGCCTAAGCTGGTCTTGAATTCCTGGCCTCAAGCAATCCCCCCACTTTAGCTTCCCAAAGTGTTGGGATTACAGGCATGAGCCACTGTGCGTGGCCTATTTCATCATAATATTGTCAGAAGTGTATTCAGTAAGAAAAAAATAATAGTACACAATTTCATTGAAACAATAACTTATAATAGAATATTTATTTATGTAGTTATAATAATGTAAATTTTATTTGGTTTAAACAGTAGAGAGCTCTGTTGAAAAATCATTGAATAAAATAACTGTATAATAAAGCAAAATAAGTCAGAAGTCATAATTTATCAAGAACTGATTGGTAAACACGTTTGATATGAAAAAGCTGAAAACACTGTAAAAGCATTTTAAATGTAAACAACAAGTTCTCTCATTCACGAACATTAACAAAGTTTCTATTACATCCTAAGCCTAACCTAACAATGTACCCATGGCACAAGCAGCATCTGTTGTTAAACAAGAAGAGAACTAAATTAGGGAGTATGTAGTGTAGTGTATGCTTACGCGTCAGTCAGGCTGACAGAAGAAGGCTCACTCACTCAACAATTAGTTGGTCTTCAGCAAGTCAGTTAACTTTAACTGGACTCCAGGGAATGGAATAAATGATCAAGCCTCAGGTTCTTTTCTCTAAAGTAAATTCTATGGTTTCATAATGTGATACATATGAAATTAAGAAATAGAGCCAGGCGTGGTGGCTCATGCCTATAATCCCAGCACTTTGGGAAGCCAAGGAGGGCAGATCGCTTGAGCCCAGGAGTTTAAGACCAGCTGGGGCAACATGGAGAAACCCCATCTCTACTAAAAATACAAAAAAATTAGCTAAGCCTGGTGGTGTACACCTATAATCTCAGCTACTCGGGAGGCTGAGACAGGAGAATTGCTTGAACTCAAGAGACAGAGTTTGCAGTGAGCCATGATCGTACCACTGCACTCTAGCCTAGGTGACAGAGTAAGACTCCATCTCAAAAACAAAACAAAACAAAAAACCCTTATATATATTTTATATCAGCTGCAAAGTTAGAAATAAAATACAAATACATTTTAAAGGTATAAAAATAAATTCTCTTCAAAAAGAATATTCATCAACTTTGATAAATAGATAACTTTTTTTTTTTTTTTGAGATGGAGTTTTGCTCTTGTCACCCAGGCTAGAGTGCGATGGCATAATCTCAGCTCACTGCAACCTCTGCCTCCTGGGTTCAAGTGATTCTCCTGCCTCAGCTTCCTGAGTAGCTGGGATTACAGGCACATACCACCACACCCGGCTAACTTTTGTATTTTCAGTAGAGATGGGGTTTCACTACATTGGCCAGGCTCATCTCGAACTTCTGACCTCAGGTAATCCACCCTTCTCAGCCTCCCAAACTGCTGGGATTACAGGCGTGAGCCACCATGCCCAGCCATAGATATCTTTTTTATAAACAGAGGTATTTTGTAACAAAATGAAAAAAATGTAATAACTAATTTGTGTGGATTTTAGGGAATAGAGTCAGCTGTCTGCATCTGTGGGTTCCATCCATGTGGATTTAACCAATTATGGACTGAAATTTTTTTAACTGCATCTCTCTTGAACATGTATTGAATGTTATTTCATCTGTATTGAGACTTTTGTCCTTGTCATTATTCCCTAAACAATAGAGTATAACAACAATTTACATAGCATTTACAATGTATTAGGTATTACAAGTAATCTACAGGTGATTTAAAGTGTACAGGAGGATGTGCACATACAAGCACATATTTTATATCAGGGGCTTGAGCATCTGCAGATTTTAGTATCCAAGGGGTCTTGGAACCAATCTCCCATGGATGTCATAGGATGATTGCATAAAGGACATGAATAATTGTTACCATTGGGTTTAAGAAATTAACAGGATTCAAAATAAAGGAAATGTGAAACAATTACCAATGACTAACAATGGCTTTATGTGACTCACCTTATGGATTCAGAGTTTAATAAAAATCAGTCAAGATATTAAGGACAGAGTGACTCAAGTTCATCCGATAACATGTTTCTGTGGCCCTCTAAGAGTCACTCTGATTTTGAGAAGATATTTGAATTGAGAGAAAAGGTTGTTTATAAAGGATCTAAAACAAGGAAGACAGCTGCTCTAAAACTCCTTTACAAAGGTAAAGAGGAGAAGAGAACAGGACAAGTTGTAAACACATGGCTGTCTTATAAGACAGAGATGACATCCAAGGGAAGCTAGAAGGTAAATGCGTCCCTCTGGCCCTAGGATGAGAAAAAGAGGTGGGATTCTAAAATCACACGTGCAGAGAGGATTCAAACTTCTATGAAAAGCGCCAGAGAAAAAGCCGTAGTCTATTACTCTTTGTTCATCTTGTTTTCTAGGTTATAGGGAAAGTTTCATGGAATCCAGAAAAGGGACTTTTTTTTTTTTTTTTTTTTTTTAATTTTTAGACAGGGTCTGCCTCTGTTGACCAGGCTGGAGTGCAGTGGCACGATCTTGGTTCTCTGAAACCTCTGCCTCCCAGGCTCAAGCCATCTTCCCACCTCAGCCCCGTGAGTAGCTGGGACCACGGGCATGCGCCGCCACACCTGGCTAATTATTTATTTATTTATTTATTTATTTATTTATTTATTTATTTTTGGTATAGATAAGGTTTCGCCATGTTGCCCAGGTTGGTCTTGAAGCCCTGAGCAAAAATGATCCGCCCACCTCAGCCTCCCAAAGTGCTGGGATTATAGGCATGAGACACCGAACCCAGCCATCTTCCTATCACAGACATCCCACACCACACCAGAAGTAGCCAAGGTCCTCACAACTACCCCTCATGCTTGAGCGCAGTGGTTCTCAGACAAGGGTCCCTTCCTAATTGCAGAGTTTAGTTATCCCAAACCACCCCCAGCACCTACTCTGTCCCTGGTGTGTGCTGGCCCAGATTGTAGCCCAGTATTAGGGGGGCTTCTGGTTTAGCACAAAGATGATACATGAGCTACTCTAACAACAAGTTAGAATGCCGGTATTTCACAGCGTTCTAATTTCATGTTTCCACAGCTCTTGCCTCATGAGAGGCAATTACAGGATAAGCAGGTAGAACCATAAATTCCTTTATAATTTTTCCTTGTACAGAGGGAGGCTTGCTGTGAAGTCACTACAAACTTTTGGCACAGGAATGGATATAACAAGAACATAAATGCTTCATCCACAGGAAATAACATCCAAAAGTAAAAACCTGACAAATTTCTGATGAGCTAAATCACAGCTAAACCTTGAATTTCAATGTGCTTACCTAATTGAGTCTTCACAATTTACTTAGTTTTTATTTTCCTTTTTTTTTTTTTTTCTTGAGACAGGGTCTCACTTCTGTGGCTCAGGCTGGAGTGCAGTGGTGCAAACTCAGCTCACTGCAGCCTCTGTCTCCCAGGTTCAAGTGATTCGCGTGCCTCAGCCTCCTGAGTAGCTGGGCCTACAGACGCCCGCCACCACACCCAGCTAAATTTTGTATTTTTAGTAGAGATGAGGTTCCTCCATGTTGGCCAGGCTGGTCTTGGACTGCTGACCTCAGGAGATCCACCTGCCTTGGCCTCCCCAAAGTGCTGGGATTACAGGTGTGAGCCACCGCGCCCAGCTAAGTTTTTACTTTCATCATAAACAATGAGTTAGACAGGAAAAGAGAGAAGATAATCAGATCTCTTAAGGTGATGCTGCACGAGTGTCAAAGTTGGGGACCATGTTGCATAGTTAGTTGGGTGATGTCAGTTGTGCAACGCTTGTTACAGAACAGGTGCTTGATAAACATTTACTGAATGGAAGTCATTTTAAAAGGCAGCAACAAAAACCTTATTACCATTCCTGTTTCATCTGCTTCATGTAAATTTCAACTAAGAAAGCATGACACATTAGGCATTTTCTAAGAGTTAAAATTCTAAGAGGTGTCAAAGGCTAATGCTCTGCAAACAAGAAAGCCTTGGAGCTGGAAGCAGCTCTGAAGGTCATCTGAGCCTGCTCTTTGCCGGGCACAGACGGTGCCGCCATACACTGCACTTGTTCACATCAGTTTTTCTGTAGCAACACCAATCAATTCACACAGGTTCTGAAGCTTTAGTGCCTTGAACAATATTTTACAATGCAAAGGAGCAAAGGCAGTGAGGTCGCCACAGGGGTTCCGTGGGAGTAGCTGGTCACTGATTGTTACCAAGCAGAGGCTGGTAGAGTGATCCGGACCAGCACCTAGGCTCTGCTGACTTACTTCTCCACAAGGCGCATTTCCTCTGCTTTAAAATACAGATTATAGTAGTATCTGCCTCACAAGGTGGTTAGGGATTAAATAATTCATGTAAAGCTTTCAGTCCTATCTGTGGCATATGGTAAGTGCTTTACATGTTAGCTACAGATTTATGCTACAATGCCTCCAACTACTTAAAAGAACCTTGAAGGCAGGAACATGTATCCCCTGTAGTCCCATAGCACAGAGTCTGGCAAAAATAAAAAAAAGCGGGGCGAGGAGGGGGAGTTAAGAGGCTCACTAATAAGTTTCAAATTGACCAATAGTATAAAACAGACAAAATGTTAAAATTAAAGCCAGATTTAAATATGTTAAATATTGTAGATGCCTAAAGTACCTTATTAAGTATTAAGACATTTTAAATACAACAGAAATAGGTGTGGTGGTGCAAGCCTATA